GAGTACCCCACTGTATGTACATAACCCCCCCCCCGGAAGAGTACCCCACTATACATACATAACCCCCCCCCGGGAGAGTACCCCACTGTATGTACACAACCCCCCCCCCCGGAAGAGTACCCACTATACATACATAACCCCCCCCCGGGAGAGTACCCCACTGTATGTACACAACCCCCCCCCCCCGGAAGAGTACTCCACTATACATACATAACCCCCCCCCGGAAGAGTACCCCACTGTATGTACATAACCCCCCCCCGGGAGAGTACCCCAACTGTATGTACATACCCCCCCCCGGGAGAGTACCCCACTGTATGTACATAACCCCCCTGGAAGAGTACCCCACTATACATACATTACCCCCTGTCGCGGATCCCCCACACACCACGCCCACAGTGACTAGCTAACCGAGGCGCGCACGTTCGGCCATGACTTGGGGTACGAGGGAATAAGGGGGGGGCTTAATCTGAATATACAGTTGCAAGAAAAAGTATGTGAACCCCTTGGGATTCCATGGAGTTTTGCATGAATTGGGCATAAAATGTGCTCTGAACGTCATCTAAGTCACAACAATAGAAGAACACAGTCTGCTGAACATAATACTACACAAACATTAGATGTCGCCATGGTTTAATTGCACATAACATGTAAACATTCACAGTGCAGGGAGGAAAAAGTATGTGAACCTTTGGACTTAATAACTTTGACCCTCCTAATTGGCAGCAATAACCCCAACCAAACGTTTCCTGTAGTTGCAGATCAGACCTGCACAACGATCTGGAGTTTTTTTGGTTTACTGGTTTCAAAAGCACTGTTTCAGTGTAGCAAACCATGTCTCGGTGAAAGAGCTCTCTTAAGGTCATACCACAGCATTTCAATGGGGTTGAGGTGCATGACTCTGACTGGGTTACAGAAGGCGTATCTCTGTGAGCCTTGATGTTCATGTTTTGTTGAATGACTTGTATGCTTTGGGTCATCATTGTCCTGTTGCTACTCTCCCTAGGCGAGGTCGTCCTGTAAAAATGACTGCAAGAGGACAGCGCAGAATCATGAGGTAAAGAAGAATCCCTGTGGAGCTTCAGCTTGGCGGACAGAAATGGCACATGCTAACATTTTTGTTGCAACATCTTGATAAATCTGGAAAACATTAAACATCAATGACAGGGACAATCGCGACGCAGGCCCTGACACATGCAAAGCAGTCCCCAAACATATGCTCCCAGGGCCTATGTTTCACAGTGGGGACCCGTCGTTTTGACAGTACTGGTGGCACTGGGACCTAGGCTCCACCATAGTCAGTTGTGTGTTCTTAAGCCAGCCCTCACATCTTGGTTTTGTCTGCCGACAGTCTTTCTGTATCCAGTTACCTGTGTGGAACATCAGGCGCTCTTTTGCAAACTTCAAATTGCTCAATCTTCTTTTTGGCCAGCAATGGCTTCCTCCGTGGTGTCCTCCCATGTACTCCATTCTTGTTTCATGTTTTTCCTGATTGTAGATGTGTCAACAAAAATGTTAGCATGTGCCAGAGATTTCTGTTGGTCTTTAGCTGACACTCTGGGATTCTTCTTTACCTCATGCAGCATTCTGCGCTGTTGCTTATTGCAGACCCAGTGACGACCACGCCTAGGGAGAGTAGCAACAGTGCTAAACTTTCACCGATCCCTATTTGTAGACCCAGTCTTGTTTACCGTGGATCCACATCAGGGACATCAAGGCTCAAGGAGATACTCTGTAACCCTTTGGAGCTTCTTGGCAAGACCCTCTACCTGGTAGAGTACCTGAGCAGCTGCGAGGCATGGTTCACATCGACAGTGCTCCAAACCAGTAAACCCAAAATCAGGGGTCAGCAACACATCCAATATCATCCCACTGTGAGTCCGGTACTGGCTCACTCCTGGCTCCAGTTAGCTCTGGGAGAGGTCTCTATCAGGGGGCCTCACATGCTTAGAGGTCCTCCCTGCGCTGGAATCCGTTTATGTTATGGGCAATGAACACCACGGAGGAATCTAATTTTGTGTAGTATTATGTTCAGAAGATTGTGTTCTTCTATTGTTTGAAGAGACCTGGATGACGTTCAGAGCACATTTTATGCCCCAATACTGGCAAATATCCACTGAATCCCAGAGGGGTTCAAGATTGAGTTGTTTGGGAAGAACACACAACACATATGTGTGGATAAAAAAAGCCGTGAGCACTTCCACAGCTCAAACCCTCATCCCCACTGTGAAACACCGGGGGAGACTCATCTTTGGGGCTGCTTTGCTGCCTCAGGGCCTGGACGGATACAAATGTTTCATTGATGGGAAAATGAATTCCAGAGTTTATGAGGACCATTTTGCAGTAAAACCCTTCTAGGACCATCTATCCGCCAGCCTGAAGCCCGCAGAGGATGTTGATGCAACAGGACACTGATGACCCAAAGCATACAAGTCATTCAACAAAACGGTGGCTGCAACAGCACAGAATACGCCTTCAGGAGTGGCCCTTCAGAGGGACACCCCACCCCACAGATCTCTGTCTGGCAGATCTGTTAGCGATTTACAATCTGCACGCATCTGCCCACAGACAGTGCAATTGCATACAGATTGGCAATGAGAAGCTGACCGAGCGTTTTTAAAGGCACTAAAATACGATACAAACTAATCTCTCCAATCCAATCTCTCCAATCCGATCCCTCCAATCCAATCCCTCCAATGTCCCTGCAATCCAATCTGCAACTACAGGAAACGTCCAATTGAATCCCTGCCAAAGGAATCCCCCCAACCAATCCCTATTAATCCAAAGGTTCATCCATCCCTCCAATTTCTCCAATCCCTCCAATGTGAATCCCTCCAATCCAATCTTCCAATGTCCAATTGAATCCATCCAATCCCTCAATCTTTGTCCAATCCAATGTTCTCCAATCCAATTCTCCAATCCAATCCCTTAATCCAATCCCTCCAATCCAATCTCTCCAATCCAATTCATGCAAAATCCCGTAATCCAATCCCCCCACATCCAATCCCTCCAATCCAATCCATTGTATATAAATCAATCCCTCCAATCCAATCCACCTCCAATCCTCTGCCCATCCCACCAATCCAATCCCTCCAATCCAATCTCTCCAATCCCTCCAATCCAATCCCTCCAATCCAATCTCTCCAATCCAATCTCTCCAATCCAATCTCTCCAATCTAATCCCTCCAATCTAATCCCTCCAATCCAATCTCTCCAATCCAATCCCTCCAATCCAATCCCTCCAATCCAATCCCTCCAATCTATCACCCAATCTCTCCAATCCAACCCCCCAACACCAATCTCTCCAATCCAATCCCTCCATCCAATCTCTCAACAGTTTATCCGCCAATCCAATCTGCTCCAACACCCCACAGACAGATCTCCATCCCGATCTGTTACCTTTTCCAATCCCTCCATCCAATCCCACCACATCCAATCCCTACAGATGGCAATCCCTCCAATCCCTTAAAGGCCTAAAATCGATCCAATCTAATCTCTCCAATCCAATCTCCCTCCAAAATCTCTCCAATCCCATCTCTTTTATATACCCGAAGTCACTAATTAATTTTAAGGTTTTAATTTCCCAAAAGTGGGCGGAGCATAAAATATGTACAAAGTATAAAGAGTTACAGAAATACAAGAAGACACACAAATGACTTCACTATAAAATAAAAGGGAATAAAAACAGAAAAAAACGTTTACCGAGATCTCTCCTGCGACTGGAGGAAGTCAGAGCGTCGCAATCTGTCAGTCAATAGGACCGCCTCCATACGAATCACACCGTCCATACCTCAAGTCCTCAATTTATAGGAATATGGACGTGGGCTGGACATTAGTCCTTGGCCAATCAACCCTGGAGCAGGGGCAGACTGACCATTTGGAAACTCGGGCACTGCCCGAGGGCCCAGGGTCAGTAGGGGGCCCCATGAGATGCCCCTGGTACCTTTTTCATAGGCTTTTTTGAGTTTGGGCAAGGACACAGGGGCCCCATGATCCCCTATTGCCCGGGGGCCCATGATTGCCAGGGGGCCCCATGAGTTGTCAGTCCGCCCCTGCCCTGGGGGTGTTCCTGTACCAGCCCACAGGGACATTCTGGGGTCTGAAATGCCCAAAGTCGATTGGACCAGGAACAGTTTGAATCACCAAGTCGGGGATTGGATCTCTGACACCAGCGCTTCAGTCCGATCCCGACAGTACCAATCACTGTTCTGCTATCGCACTCCAGCGTCACACATAACCATTTCCTGCATTTTCCTGGCATACTACATAGGCCACAAATACAGTTTTACATGCAGATGTAGCCCACAGAGTGTCCAATCAGAAGGAAGTATTTTCATCTCTCTGCAACTCATATTTTGGCTTTTACGAGAGATGAAACATTTCCTTTGATCTACTGATATAATTTGTAGCTTCCGACAGATCGGGGCCCCCCTGGTGTCATGAAGCCGTAATGTCTGCGTTCCTCTTTTACACTTCCGGAAGGTGGCAAAGTCTGATTATAGACAAATCTTATTGGCCCCCAGGTGTCACTTCCAGAGGAAGCTGCTCTGTCCCTTCAGATGCTAATGGGTGACCTTCTGTCTCTGAATACCTGACTGAATATTTCTTTAATACCAAGGAATGAAAACAATTACATATTGCTACAGATCACATCTCAGTCCAATCACTTGAATCCCACATTTAGGTTACGCCCCCCCAGAGAATAGTACCCCACTATACATACATAGCACCCCCCCCCCCCCAGAAGAGTGCTCCACCCCTTCACCATTGATTGGCTGTCAATGTCTCTTGGGTCCCTGTGGTGGACTTCCAGTTGCACATTACGGATTGGTCATTTGGCCGATACCTCTACATGACACATCACCTACCTCAGGCCTTCCAATAGGACTTCACATCTGGGGAGGGACCATTATTGATTGGTCTGTGATAGCTCCTCCCACAACAGATACAACGATTGGGAGATTCTAGAATGTATTTCCTGATTTGAGCTTTTTATGTTCACCTTCTCCACATAGACATAGAGAGCCGTCTCCGGGGACAGAGCGCCGTCCTTCAGTTCCTTGGCCAGTTCCACCAACGTCAGATCCAGAATCCTCTGGTGGTCCACACTCGGGTTCTAGGAGAACACAAACATCAGATTTAATGGTGTGCAATCATTGGATAAAAGAAGGGTTAGTGTCGGGGCCGGAGCTATCGGGGAAAAACCGGAGCATGGAATTCAGCCTACAGCCTGGCGCTGGAGCAGAGTCAGGCCCAGGGATTGGGAGTTCAGCAAGTATGGACCCAACATCTGATCCTGGCCTGGTGCTGGGGCTAGTATGGGCCTATAGCCTGGCGCTGGAGCTGAGTCCATGGGTTGGTGCTAGAGTTGGTGCCAGGCCCAGGGATTGGGAGTTCAGCAAGTATGGACCCCAACATCTGATCCTGGCCTGGTGCTGGGGCTAGTATGGGCCTATAGCCTGGCGCTGGAGCTGAGTTCATGGGTTGGTGCTAGAGTTGGTGCCAGGCCCAGGGATTGGGAGTTCAGCAAGTATGACCCAACATCTGATCCTGGCCTGGTGCTGGGGCTAGTATGGGCCTATAGCCTGGCGCTGGAGCTGAGTCCATGGGTTGGTGCTAGAGTTGGTGCCAGGCCCAGGGATTGGGAGTTCAGCAAGTATGTACCCAACATCTGATCCAGGCCTTGTGCTGGGGCTAGTATGGGCCTATAGCCTGGCGCTGGAGCTGGTGTTTTGCTCCTGGCCCGGAGCGGGTGCTATGGTCTTCTTCTACACTTAGTGATGGGTCCATGACTGGTTCTATGGCGTATTTCCAGTGCTGGTACCGGGCCCACTGTTGGGTGCTGGGGCTGTTGTTCCGACCATAACTTGGTTCCATGCTGGTTCCAGATCGACTGAGTTTGCAGTGTTGGTGAGATCAGTAATATTTATCATCAATGTCTGAGGCTCTGGAACCCGGGCCCCTCCACAGACTGTTACCCCTGGAACACGGGCCCCTCCACAGACTGTTACCCCTGGAACACGGGCCCCTCCACAGACTGTTACCCCTGGAACACGGGTCCCCCCACAGACTGTCACCCCTGGAACACGGGCCCCTCCACAGACTGTCACCCCTGAAACACGGGCCCCTCCACAACTGTTACCCCTGGAACACGAGCCCCTCCACAGACTGTCACCCCTGGAACACGGGCTCCTCCACAGACTGTTACCCCTGCAACACGGGCCCCTCCACCGACTGTTACCCCTGGAATCATGGGCCCCCCACAGACTGTCACCCCTGGAACATGGGCTCCTCCACAGACTGTCACCCCTGGAACCAAGGCCCCTCCACAGACTGACACCCCTGGAACACAGGTTACCCCCCCCCCCAGCCTGTCACCACTGGAACATGAGCCCCCCTCCACAGACCCCTGTCAGAGCCCTGGAACACGGGCCCCCCACAGACTGTCACCCCTCCATTCACAGAGCCCTTGTTATAGGGTGTTTGCAGGCTCCATTCACAGAGACCTTGTTATAGGGTGTTTGCAGGCTCCTGTAACGGACATGTAAGATTTGAGTGGAAATATGGAATTAGCCATGACAGGTGAGTAGATGAGATGAGGCCACGCCCTCTCATTACAAAGGTGTGTGCAGGAACAGTCTGGTCATTAAGGATGTATATGGGGCCCCTGGGCAGTAGGGTAAGGATGTATATGGGGCCCCTGGGCAGTAGGGAAATGAATAGAAGGTACAAATGGTCTGGGGTCAGATGTGTATTATACACAATTCCTCCATAGGCCTTACAGACCCAATCATCATTTAGCATTAATTAGTCTAAAGCCCCGCCTCCTGGAGGTGACACCTTTTGTGTGTCAATCAGGTTATCACCTTCTGGGAAAACCAGTGACAGCAGACAGACTGTGTGATGTGGAAGCTCTATAAGTAATATTCACATAAAACGAGTATGTTTAATCTCTTATAAAAGATGAAATATTAGTTGGAGAGATGGAAATGCTTCCTTCTTGTAGGGCGCTCTGTGCGCTACATTTACATATAACAATCATATTTGTGGATTGGGGAGGAGCCAGGGAAATGCATGGAGTGATTAGATGACGCGGGGGTGCGACAGTCGGATGGTGATTGGTACGGTTGCGATCGGGCTGACGCGCTGGTGCCAGAAATCCAATTCCCGACTTGGTGTTCAGGCCAGTCTCGGCCCAATTGAACTTGGTTAGGTCCATACACAGTACCTCTTGTGGGCGGGTCAGGACCACCTCCCCCAGAGTCAATTGGCCGAAGACTAATATCCCGCCCATGTCCAAATCGCCATAAATTGAACGCACGGACATTTGGACAGGGTGATCCGTACGGAGCTGGTCGATCGACTAGCGGATTGCCAAGTTTCTGGCTCGCTCCAGCCGCAGGGGAACGTGTTATTCTGTCTTTTTATTCCCTTTTATTTTATAGTAATTAGTCATTTGTGTGTCTTCTTATATCTTTGTATTTTATGTAACTTGTTATATTTGTACATATTTTATGCCCCGCCCACTTTGGGAAATTAAATCTTAAAATTAATTAGTGACTTCTGTGTATTTAAGCTCGGGGTCATATCTCCGGAGAGACGAGATTGGGTTTTAGTGCCTTTAAAACGCTCGGTTAAGCTCATTGCCAATCTGTATGCAATTGCACTGTGTGTGGGCAGATTGCATGCAGATTGCAAAGGTAACAGATCTGCCAGACGGAGATCTGTGTGGGTGGGGTGTCTCAACAGACCATTCTGCGGATAAACTGTTGGGTGGTGGCAGGCTACCTTTGTGGTGCGTCTGGTGTGGGGGGGTGTGTCTGGTGTGTGGGGTGTGGACAGTGGAAGGGTGATAACATCGGGGTTCAAGCTAGGATAGCTGGAGGGACTTTAGAAGGGTGTGATTACTAAGCTGGTCCTCAACTCTAATCAGTGCACCAGGTTGTATGTAAGATCGTATCTGCCAGTGTGTGGTCGACCAGCTGGATTGGAGTGGAGTCTCCCCCGGTGGTGGGCAGAGGTAGTGCAGCTGTGAAAAGGTATCACGGCTGATCTTATATACGGTTTGAGATATTTAAGTGTAAATCCCTTTATTCTCCCTCTTTACCACCCTGTCGCAGCCGCACGCGTGCGTCACGGTTAGCTAGTCGCTGTAGGCGTGGCGTGTGGGGGACACGTGACAGGGTGATCGTTTAAGCGAATCCTTGACAGCTCCATTCACAGAGACCTTGTTATAGGGTGTTTGCAGGCTCCATTCACAGAGATCTTGTTATAGGGTGTTTGCAGGCTCCATTCACAGAGACCTTGTTATAGGGTGTTTGCAGGCTCCATTCACAGAGTCCTTGTTATAGGGTGTTTGCAGGCTCCGTTCACAGAGACCTTGTTATAGGATGTTTGCAGGCTCCATTCACAGAGACCTTGTTATAGGATGTTTGCAGGCTCCATTCACAGAGACCTTGTTATAGGATGTTTGCAGGCTCCGTTCACAGAGACCTTGTTATAGGGTGTTTGCAGGCTCCATTCACAGAGACCTTGTTATAGGGTGTTTGCAGGCTCCATTCACAGAGACCTTGTTATAGGATGTTTGCAGGCTCCATTCACAGAGACCTTGTTATAGGGTGTTTGCAGGCTCCATTCACAGAGACCTTGTTATAGGGTGTTTGCAGGCTCCGTTCACAGAGACCTTGTTATAGGATGTTTGCAGGCTCCATTCACAGAGACCTTGTTATAGGATGTTTGCAGGCTCCATTCACAGAGATCTTGTTATAGGGTGTTTGCAGGCTCCGTTCACAGAGACCTTGTTATAGGGTGTTTGCAGGCTCCATTCACAGAGACATTGTTTTGATATATAATGCACAATATTTAGAAGGACCCCCCCCACCCTCACCATGGTGCAGAGAATTCCAATCTTTTATAGGTGACACCAGTTGTCCCCATGGCTGATTTCTCCTCTGTTCCTGTGCTGGTGACACCTGCAATATTTTGGATCTCTCATCACTGTCTGTCTCGGTGACCCCAGGACAAATGAAGGTGATAAATCTCCCCAGTGGGGACAGACAGCATCGCCTGATGGGGGTTCTAATCCTTGTCTCCAGAGACCCTTCATGAGTTCGTCTTTCCGGTCAGGACAGGAAGTGATGGGAAATCTCTGATGGGGACACAATTGTAGTCTGTCCCCCATTTCCAGTCCAGGTGTCACAGGGACGAGTGAGGAATCATCGACCCAATGGGGTCCCCCAGACACAAAGGAACGATGGAAAGTTATTTATCTGGAGTCCTTCAGAATGGAGGAAGTGGGAAGCTGCACTGAGCTGCACTGTGCGCAGGAGGACACATCAGTCAGTTGATGAAGGACAGTGTACAGTGGAATTGTCTGCTCAAGGGCCTGGGGCCCCCAGTGTCACCTCCACTGCAGGACTGGATTCCGGAGAGAGGCAGGGCTGGCCGGTTTACAGGCTGCAGAACATTAACTAACACCTGTCCTGACATGAGACTGGGAGGCAGCCAGAGGGGCCCCAACCAGGGAGAACATACGTGGGGCCCCAACCAGGGAGAACCGGGACGGCCAATCCCGACAGTGTTCAGTATTAATATCGCCTACAGAAGATGAGCGGAGTACAAAACTGGAGGGGTGTGAGGGGCCCCAACCAGGGAGAACATATGAGGGGCCCCAACCAGGGAGAACATACGAGGGGCCCCAACCAGGGAGAACCGGGACGGCCAATCCCGACAGTGTTCAGTATTAATATCACCTACAGAAGATGAGCGGAGTACAAAACTGGAGGGGTGTGAGGGGCCCCAACCAGGGAGAACATATGAGGGGCCCCAACCAGGGAGAACATACGAGGGGCCCCAACCAGGGAGAACCGGGACGGCCAATCCCGACAGTGTTCAGTATTAATATCGCCTACAGAAGATGAGCGGAGTACAAAACTGGAGGGGTGTGAGGGGCCCCAACCAGGGAGAACATACGAGGGGCCCCAACCAGGGAGAACCGGGACGGCCAATCCCGATAGTGCTCAGTATTAATATCGCCTACAGAAGATGAGCGGAGTACAAAACTGGAGGGGGGTGTGAGGGGCCCCAACCAGGGAGAACATACGAGGGGCCCCCCAACCAGGGAGAACCGGGACGGCCAATCCCAACAGTGTTCAGTATTAATATCGCCTACAGAAGATGAGCGGAGTACAAAACTGGAGGGGTGTGAGGGGCCCCAACCAGAGAGAACATACGAGGGGCCCCAACAGGGAGAGACTAGAACCAGAACAATCAGAAGGAACGATCCTCAATGAGAAGATTGGGAGTAAAAGTCGGTTGAGATCTTTCAGGAGACAACAATCCGGGTTCTCTAGGTCGGCCTCCAATATGGACATGAAGGAAATTGTGAGACAAAACGTCCATTCCCTAAACCGTTCCCCGATATTCCGGAAGATGGACTGTCAGTGGGGAACGCCGGCTCCAATCATTGTTCAGAAGACGAGGACACAATACGGGGATCAGTTATAGGAAAGTGGGAGCGGAGTGTTCCCCAATTGGAGCATACACTACGATGTATAAAGACCTCACCTATAGGAATCTATATGTCGGAGGAATGGAGAAGATATCAGGACTAGAAGGGTCCCCATACACATTACAATCTGACCATACAATCTCTGCGCAATCAACTTTAGATCCACCAACACTCTGTAATATGAGGACCTACCTAGTCAACCTACCCATCAATTCCTATCCAGTCAGGAAAGCCCTTGAACTACATTGTTGTTATTGTTGGGTCTATAGGAGATTGTACCGATTGTAACGTGTGTGGTGAGCTGGAGCATGACATGTCAGAATATATTATTACTGTGTTGTATGTCAGTATACAGCGGATGGTGAACACGAAGGAAATGGGCAATTGGCTGTCATGGGTTCTCCTCATCTATGATTGGTCGGTATTTGTTCTCCTCATCTATGATTGGTCGGTATGGGTTCTCATCTATGATTGGTCGGTATTTGTTCTCCTCATCTAGGATTGGTCGGTATTTGTTCTCCTCAGTCTACGATTGGTCGGTATTTGTTCTCCTCAGTCTACGATTGGTCGGTATTTGTTCTCCTCAGTCTACGATTGGCCGTTATGGGTTCTCCGCAGTCTACGATTGGTCCTTATGGGTTCTCCGCAGTCTACGATTGGTCGTTGTGGGTTCTCCTCAGTCTACGACTGGTCGTTGTGGGTTCTCCTCAGTCTACGACTGGTCGTTGTGGGTTCTCCTCAGTCTACGACTGGTCGTTGTGGGTTCTCCTCAGTCTACGACTGGTCGTTGTGGGTTCTCCTCAGTCTACGACTGGTCGTTGTGGGTTCTCCTCAGCCTACGACTGGTCGTTGTGGGTTCTCCTCAGCCTACGATTGGTCGTTGTGGGTTCTCCTCAGCCTACGATTGGTCGTTGTGGGTTCTCCTCAGCCTACGATTGGTCGTTGTGAGTTCTCCTCAGCCTACGATTGGTCGTTGTGGGTTCTCCTCAGCCTACGATTGGTCGTTGTGGGTTCTCCTCAGCCTACGATTGGTCGTTGTGGGTTCTCCTCAGCCTACGATTGGTCGTTGTGGGTTCTCCTCAGCCTACGATTGGTCGTTGTGGGTTCTCCTCAGCCTACGATTGGTCGTTATGTGGGTTCTCCTCAGCCTACGATTGGTCGTTGTGGGTTCTCCTCAGTCTACGATTGGTCGTTGTGGGTTCTCCTCAGTCTACGATTGGTCGTTGTGGGTTCTCCTCAGTCTACGATTGGTCGTTGTGGGTTCTCCTCAGCCTACGATTGGTCGTTGTGGGTTCTCCTCAGCCTACGATTGGTCGTTGTGGGTTCTCCTCAGCCTACGATTGGTCGTTGTGGGTTCTCCTCAGCCTACGATTGGTCGTTGTGGGTTCTCCTCAGCCTAGGATTGGTCGTTGTGGGTTCTCCTCAGCCTACGATTGGTCGTTGTGGGTTCTCCTCAGCCTAGGATTGGTCGTTGTGGGTTCTCCTCAGCCTACGATTGGTCGTTGTGGGTTCTCCTCAGCCTACGATTGGTCGTTATGGGTTCTCCTCAGTCTACGTTGTGAGCAGTGAAGGGTTAATGGGTGTGTGTGCTGCCAATCCTTCAATATCTTGTGTAACGTGTTGGGTGGAGACGCCTCATGGATGGGAATCGGTTGTCTGCCAAGATGGTTTTATTCTGAGGATTAAATGTCACGTCTGAAGAGATCTGATGATCCGTCTTCTCCCTCCCAGGGAGAGGGGAGAACTGGCGGATCCCAGGGGAGGGGAGAGAGCTGGGGAATCCAGGGAGAGCAGACAGATCCCAGGGAGAGGGGTTGTCTGCCAGGGAGAGGGGAGATGGATTTTATCCCAGGGGGAGGGGGAGCTTCCCAAATGTCATCCCGTCTGACGGATCCCATGAAGAGAGCTGACGGATCTGAGAGCTGACGGATCCCGTCAGGGGGAGGGGAGAGCGGACGGATCCCTCGGACTCCCAGGGGGTGTTTGTGGTGAAGCAAATCTGACAGATCCCAGGGAGAGGGGAGGGAGAGCTGACGGATCCCAGAGGGAGGGGAGAGCTGGGGGATCCCAGGGGGGAGGGCTGACTGGGGATCCCAGGGGGAGGGGAGAGCTGACGGATCCCAGGGGGGGAGGGGGGAGAGCTGACGGATCCCAGGGGGAGGGGAGAGCTGGCGGATCCCAGGGGGAGGGGAGAGCTGAGAGCAGGGGGAGGGGGGCGGATCCCAGGGGGGGAGGGAGGAGAGGAGAGCTGAGGGCGGGGGAGAGGACGGATCCCAGGGGGAGGGGAGAGCTGACGGATGAGGGACGGATCCCAGGGGGGAGAGGGAGGGGAGAGCGGACTAGGAGATCCCAGGGGGAGGGGAGAGCTGACGGATCCCAGGGGGAGGGGAGAGCTGAGGGATCCCAGGGGGAGGGAGAGCTCCCAGGGGGAATAGGAGATCCCAGGGGGAGGGGGAGGGCTGAATGCTGGTCACCTGGCTTTATCTAACTTCAATGCATACAGTGTGTCACAGACCTGGAATGCTGGTCGCCTGGCTTTATCTAACTTCAATGCATACAAGCTGGAGCAATGCAGCAAGTGAAAGTCAGTATTCCTGATCTGAAATCTGTTCTGGATCAGAATCTAAGGGACTGAAGCCATTGGATAAGCATGATGGAGAATGGACCGTGATTGGTCCATGTATGGCGGAGATCATGTGCAGGGTGTGAGATCTCCATGTTTGTGTACCTGCTGGTGAAATGTGCGCAGAGCCTCCTGCATGAGGCGCACACTGTCCTCCCTCCTCGTCCTCTCCTCCTCCATCCTCCTGCGGATCCCACGTCTCCTCCTCCATCTCAGGCCGTACGCCGAGGCAGCCAGGAGGCACCCCAGGGTGGCCAAGAGCTTGCACTCTAATGAGCGCTCAGAGAGCAGATGGGCCAGCGTCTCCTTCATGGCGTCTGAGCCCAGCAGGGGGAAGAGGACGCCTCTTATATCTCCCAGCCTCGCCCCACCCCAGGGGGCTTAAAGGGCCAGGACAGTGATAGGAGAACCTGATGGGGCCCCGAGGGGGATGTCCAGGGAGGAGACAGAACTCTTCATCACCGGCCCCAGACACACGGAACCATTGGGGGTCCCCAGATCTACACGGCTCACAACTTCTCTTGGATTTCTTTTTACTTTTCCAGAAAATCTTCAAATAAGCACTGAACACGGGGGGGGGGGGGGCCCAGGACACAGGAGGGGCCCCAGGACACGGGGGGGCGCAGGACACAGGAGGAGCCCTAGGACATGGGGGGGCCCCAGGACACAGGAGGACCCCAGGACACAGGGGGGGCCCCAGGACACAGGAGGGACCCCAGGACACGGGGGGGGCCCAGGACACAGGAGGAACCCTAGGACACAGGGGGGGCCCCAGGACACAGGAGGAGCCCCAGGGGGGGGGACCCCAGGACACAGGGGGGGCCCCAGGACACAGGAGGGAGCCCCAGGACACGGGGGGGGGGGCCCAGGACACAGGAGGGACCCCAGGACACGGGGGGGGCGCAGGACACAGGAGGAGCCCCAGGACATGGGGGGGCCCCAGGACACAGGAGGAACCCCAGGACACGGGGGGGGCCCCAGGACATGGGGGGGACCCCAGGACAGGAGGGGCCCCAGAACACAGGAGGAGCCCCAGGACACGGGGGGGGCCCAGGACACAGGGGGACCCCAGGACACAGGGGGGGCCCAGGACACAGGGGGGCCCCAGGACATGGGGGGGGGCCCAGGACAGGGGGGGGCCCAGGACACAGGAGGAGCCCCAGAACACAGGAGGAGCCCCAGAACACAGGAGGAGCCCCAAGACACCAGGGGGGGTCCCAGGACACAGGAGGATCGGGGGGGCCACAGGGGGGGGCCACAGGACACAGGAGGTCCCCAGGACACAGGAGGAGCCCCAGGAACACAGGAGGGTCCCCAGGACCACAGGAGGAGTCCCCAGGACACAGGAGGAGCCCCAGGACACAGGAGGATCGGGGGGGGCCCCAGGACACAGGAGGAGCCCCAGGACACAGGAGGAGCCCCAAGACACCAGGGGGGCCCCCAGGACACAGGAGGAGCCCCAGGACACCAGGGGGGGGGGCAGGAGGACACAGGAGGGGCCCCAGGACACAGGAGGAACCCCAGGACACAGGAGCGGCCCCAAGATGCAGGAGGAGCCCCAGGACACAGGAGGGACTCCAGGACACAGGAGGAGCCCCAGGACACGGGGGGGCAGACACAGGAGGGGCCCCAGGACACAGGAGGGGCCCTAGGACACAGGAGGGGCGGGGTGCAATCAGCACTGTCTGAGAGAGTATGGGGGATGGGTTAGCTTCACCCTCTCCCCTCTTCCTGCCTCCCCCCCCCCCAGCTTCACCCTTTCCCCCCCCCACTTTACCTTCTTCCCCCTATGTGTGTATAGATCCCCTTGGTTTGTATGTGGGAATGTGTTGTCGGCTCCCTGGGGGCGGGGAGTAGGAAATTTGATGTGCAGACTGTGTGTGAGACATCCCTCGGGCTGCAGGTTTGGCTCTTCCTGGGCGGGACATCCGCCGGACACGCCTCTCCTCTGCCATGTATGAGAATATTTCATATTAGCTGCCTCACCTTCTCTTTTCCTTTCTGCTCCCTCAGGAAGATCCTCTCGGTAGGAGATCTTGGACCGATCTCGGGGCCCTCAGGACAATCAGGTCGATCTCACGTGGTTCTCTGGCATGGTCCATGGTTGATTTCTCCTGTGAGGGTCACCTCTGTACACGCCGGTCCCCGGATTCCTCATGTGGACATCTCCGCCATTCTGATGGGAATACATTGCTGGCCATCAGACGTTGGGTGATTATTGTGTGTTGTAGCCAGGGAGGGGCCCGGCCAAGGTGGTGTTCAGAGGGGGCCACACTCCGACCAGGGCTCAGAAGGGAACAGGGAAACCAAGATACTCAGCGGCTCCTATGGGGGTAGAGCTACAACCCCTAGGGTCTCAGGGAAATGTACACAGAGCTGGACTCCCCACCATAACCCATGTGTCTGAGGATTTCATTGGCCCCTAGGAGCCCCAAAGAGAAGCGTTCAGAGGGCTGGACTCCCACCATAACCCACGTATCTGATGATTTATTGGCCCCTGGCCCCTAGGAGCCCCATAGAGGAGCGTTCAGAGGATTGGACTCCCCACATAACCCATGAGTCTGATGATTTCATTGGCCCCTAGTAGCCCCATAGAGAGCGTTCAGAGGGTTGGACTCCCCACCATGACCCACGTATCTGATGATTTATTTCCCTGGCCCCTAGGAGCCCCATGGAGTGAATGTTCAGAGGGCCGGACCCTCACCATGACCCCATGTGTCTGATGATTTCATTGGCCCCTAGGAGCCCCATGGAGCACATTCAGAGGGGGTCCCCCCACCATGACCCTTGTGTCTACAGAGAGAACTCGGGGTCCCACCAAGACTTCCATCCATACCAGGAAGAAAATATTCTGGAAACTTCCAAATGGATTTTATTTCTAACAAGGAAATCTCTTCTTCCTCCAAACCCCGCCCCCGAGGGGCCCAACGTCACTGAAGGGGCATCAGGAGGAAAGAACGAGATCTTCATGTGGGGGGAGGGCATGCTGGGGGAGGGGGGGGGGGAAATCAAGATTGGTGTGTCCGAGGGAAATCGATGATTGGTGTGGGGGAGGAGGAGGGGGGGGGGATGGTGATTGGGGGGGGGGGGGGGGGGGGAATCAATGATTGGTGTGGGGGGGGGGGTGTGGGGGGGGGGAGGGGGAGAATGAATGATTACTCTGGTTGGGGGGCCGTGTTCTGGGGTTATTGGTGGGATGTTCAATTGGTGATTGGATGAGGGGGGAGGTCAGAGATTGTTGTGGCTGGCGGGGGGAGGGGCGGGCCGAAGAAGTTTCTGTTCCGTGTGGGCGGAGTCATCACTTCTTCCCGCGGGTGACACTTTCCACTTCCTTCATCAGGCGGAGGCACTGCTCTTCCTGCCACTGGAGGGCCACACACTGCACCACCACCGGGAGCCCCACACCCCCCTCCATCCCCTGAAAGACAAAGATGGCCGACAATCAGAGTGACATCACACAATCCGGAGACTCTGCACGATGATATCACAGATCTGGGAGGAGTCTCCACTCAGCGATTGTGGATCATTCCCATCATTAATGCAAAGAATTGTTTACTGAAAATGTCCCACCCACCGCCCGACAGCCCCGCCCCACCGCCCGACAACCCCTCCCCACCGTCCGAGAGCCCCGCCCCACCGCCCGACAACCCCTCCCCACCGTCCAAGACCCCGCCCCCCGCCCGACAACCCCGCCCCACCGTCCAAGAACATCGCCCCACCGCCCCACCCCTCCCCACCGCCTTACAAACCCGCCCCACCGCCCGACAACCCCACTCATCTCCTGACAACCCCTCCCCACCACCTGATGACCCCACCCACCTCCTAACAACCCCACCCACTGTCTCACAGCTCCACCCCACTGCCTGACGCCTGACGACTGATCACTCCACCACTGCCTGATCCCTCCTCACAGCCCACCCCACTGCCTGACAACCCTCACCCCATTGCCTCACAGCTCCCACTGCCTGACAACCCCACCCCATTGCCTCACAGCTCCACCCAACTGAAAACAGGTGTCAGTCGGTGGGGTGGAGCCATCAGTGGGTGGGTGGAGCCTGCGGGGTGACCCCTCACGTTGGATGGTGTCACTGACCTGGATGACCTCCTTGTCCCAGAGATCGTTGTGATATCCTCTGTAGTGTGTGAGCTCCTCCTCGTCCTCCGCACTCACCGAGGTGACGGGAACCACTCCGGCCGGGAAGTTCAGGATATTGAAGAGCATGGTGAAGCTGAACCCGGCTGGAAGACACCAAAACCATCACATGTAGGGACCACACAGCATGCCGTACAGCTCCACCCATCACATGCAGGGACCACACGGCACGCCGTACAGCTCCACCCATCACATGCAGGGACCACACGGCACGCCGTACACGCTCCACCCATCACATGCAGGGACCACACGGCATGCCGTACAGCTCCACGTATCCCACCCATCACATGTAGGGACCACACAGCATGCCGTACAGCTCCACCCATCACATGTAGGGACCACACAGCATGCCGTACAGCTCCACCCATCACATGCAGGGACCACACGGCACGCCGTACAGCTCCACCCATCACATGCAGGGACCACACAGCACGCCGTACAGCTCCACGTATCCCACCCATCACATGCAGGGACCACACAGCATGCCGTACAGCTCCACCCATCACATGTAGGGACCACACGGCACGCCGTACAGCTCCACCCATCACATGCAGGGACCACACGGCACGCCGTACAGCTCCACGCTCCCACCCATCACATGTAGGGACCACACAGCACGCCGTACAGCTCCACCCATCACATGTAGGGACCACACACGCCGCACGCCACCCATACATGCAGGGACCACACGGCACTCCACAGCTCCACCCATCACATGTAGGGACCACACGGCATGCCGTACAGCTCCACCCATCACATGCAGGGACCACACGGCACGCCGCACAGCTCCACCCATCACATGCAGGGACCACATGGCACGCCGCACAGCTCCACCCATCACATGCAGGGACCACACACGGCACGCCATACAGCTCCACCCATCACATGTAGGGACCACACAGCACGCCGTACAGCTCCCACCCATCACATGACCACACACGTACAGGGATCCCACACACACGGCACGCCGCACACCCATCCTGCCAGGGAACCCATCACATGCACGGGCACCAGCTCCACCCATCACATGGACCACACGGCACGCCGCACAGCTCCACCCATCACATGCAGGGGACCACACAGCTCCACCCATCACATGCAGGGACCACATGGCACGCCATACAGCTCCACCCATCACATCAGGGACACACATGCCGTCAGCTGGACCACCCATCACACAGGCACCCGAACAGCTCCACATCACATGCATGGCTCACACCCATCACATGCAGGGACCACACGGCACGCCGTACACAGTACATCCACCCATCACATGTAAGGGACCACACAGCACGCCGTACAGCTATACCACCCATCCCACCCATCACATGTAGGGACCACACACAGCACGCCGTACACATCTCCACCCATCACCCCCCCCCCCCCCCCCACATCCCCTCCCCCCCCCCCCCCCACAGCACCCCACACCCCTACCCACGCATGCCGTACAGCTCCACCCATCACATGCAGGGACCACACACGGCACGCCGCACAGCTCCACCCATCACATGCAGGGACCACATGGCACGCCGCACAGCTCCACCCATCACATGCAGGGACCACACGGCACGCCATAACAGCTCCACCCATCACATGTAGGGACCACACAGCATGCCGTACAGCTCCACCCATCACATGCAGGGACCACACAGCTCCACCCATCACATGCAGGGACCACACGGCACGCCGCACAGCTCCACCCATCACATGCAGGGACCCACACAGCTCCACCCATCACATGCAGGGACCACATGGCACGCCATACAGCTCCCACCCATCACATGTAGAAACCGCACAGCTCCACCCATCACATGCAGGGACCACACAGCATGTCGCACAGCTCCCACCCATCACATGCAGGGACCACACAGCACGCCGTACAGCTCCGGGCATCCGACCCCCATCACATGTAGGGACCACACGGCACGCCGTACAGCTCCACCCATCACATGTAGGGACCACACGGCACGCCGTACAGCTCCACCCATCACATGTAGGGACCACACGGCACGCCGTACAGCTCCACCCATCACATGCAGGGACCACACAGCACGCCGTACAGCTCCACGCATCCCACCCATCACATGTAGGGACCACGCGGCACGCCGACAGCTCCAGGCATCCCACCCATCACATGTAGGGACCACACGGCACGCCGTACAGCTCCGGGCATCCCACCCATCACATGTAGGGACCACAGAGCATGCCGTACAGCTCCACGCATCCCACCCATCACATGTAGGGACCGCAGAGCATGCCGTACAGCTCCACGCATCCCACCCATCACATGTAGGGACCACAGAGCACGCCGTACAGCTCCACGTCTACCCACCCATCACATGTAGGGACCGCGCAGCACGCCGTACAGCTCCACGCATCCCACCTATCACATGTAGGGACCCGCACGGAAACGCCGTTTCAGCTCCACGCATCCCACCCATCACATGTAGGGACCGCACGGCACGCCGTACAGCTCCACATATCCCACCCAGTGCCTCTCCCATCCCCCGCCATATCCCTCCACCCCTCCCTTCCCCCTTGTACATTCCGAGGTCTGTGGGGCTTCCATGGACAGGGCTGGGCCGGCCGTTGCCGAGGCAACCTAGCCGCGTCCCACATGATCTTCAAGAGACCCACACAGGAAGCAGCCCTCCCTCTCTCTGTTCCTGGCCATGCGGCAGGAACCATCTTGCTCCCAGAAAGATGCTGGGAGGCTCGGGTGAGGGGGACCGAACCTCCCAGCCATCCCCCCTGCGCACTCTGCAGACCCCAAAAGGGTTGGGAGTCTCCACAGCTCTGCATGAGCCTTCTCCTCAAAGGTCAGACCCCACAGCTGAGACCCTCTGTTGCCGGCCTGTCTACTGAGCACCCTTGCACCCTGTCTGCTGCTGAGTGTCCTGGGAGCTGCTGCTGAGGGAGCCTGCACACTGTCCGTGGCTGCGTGTCCCTGGAGGCTGTCTGCTGCTGAGTGCCCTGGGAGCTGCTGCTGTCTGCTGACCGCTGGTTGTCCCTGTCTGGAGCCGCCTGCCACTGAGGGTCTACCAGCTGCTTACTGTGAGTATCCTGTACTGAGTCTGTCCCCGCTGTGCGCACTGACCACCTGTGTCCTGTACTGTCCCCGCTGTGCGCACTGACCACCTGTGTCCTGAACTGTCCCCGCTGTGCGCACTGACCACACACCGTGTCCTGAACCCCATCCCCTGTTGTGCGCACTGACCACCCGTGTTCTGAACTGTCCCCGTTGTGCGCACTGACCACCCGTGTTCTGAACGGTCCCTGTTGTGCGCACTGACCACCCGTGTTCTGAACGGTCCCTGTTTGTGCGCACTGACCACACCCGTGTTCTGAACGGTCCCCTGTTGTGCGCACTGACCACCCGTGTTCTGAACGGTCCCTGTTGTGCGCACTGGACCATCCGTGTCTCCTGTACTGTCCCCGCTGTGCGCACTGACCACCCGTGTCCTGAACTGTGCCTGTTGTGCGCACTGGCCACCCGTGTCCTGAACTGTCCCCGATGTGCGCACTGACCACTTCCCGTGTCCTGAACTGTCCCCGATGTGCGCACTGACCACCACGTGTCCTGTACTGTCACACCCTGTGCGCACTGACCACCCGTGTCCTGTACTGTCCCCGCTGTGCGCACTGACCACCCGTGTCCTGTACTGTCCCCGCTGTGCGCCACTGACCACCCGTGTCCTGTACTGTCCCCGCTGTGCGCACTGACCACCCGTGTCCTGTACTGTCCCCCCGCTGTGCGCACTGACCACGCCGTGTCCTGTACTGTCCCCGCTGTGCGCACTGACCACCCGTGTCCTGTACTGTCCCCGCTGTGCGCACTGACCACCCGTGTCCTGTACTGTCCCGCTGTGCGCACTGACCACCCGTGTCCTGTACTGTGACCACCCCCCGCTGTGCGCACTGACCACCCGTGTCCTGTACTGTCCCCGCTGTGCGCACTGACCACCCGTGTCCTGTAACTGTCCCCGCTGTGCGCACTGACCACCCGTGTCCTGAACTGTCCCCGTTGTGCGCACTGACCACCCGTGTTCTGAACTGTGCCCCGTTGTGCGCACTGACCACCCGTGTTCTGAAACTGTCCCCGTTGTGCGCACTGACCACCCCGTGTCCTGAACTGTCCCCGTTGTGCGCACTGACCACCCCGTGTCCTGAACTGTCCCCGTTGTGCGCACTGACCACCCGTGTCCTGTAACTGTCCCCGTTGTGCGCACTGACCACCCGTGTCCTGAACTGTCCCCGTTGTGCGCACTGACCACCCGTGTCCTGAACTGTCCCCGTTGTGCGCACTGACCACCCGTGTCCTGAACTGTCCCCGTTGTGCGCACTGACCACCCGTGTCCTGAACTGTGCCTGTTGTGCGCACTGACCGACCTACCGTGTCCTGTCCCGCTTGTGCGCACTGACCACCCGTGTCCTGTCCCCGCTGTGCGCACTGACCACCCGTTCCTGTCCTGTCCCCGCTGTGCGCACTGACCACCCGTGTCACTTCCTGTCCCCGCTGTGCGCACTGACGAGAAAACCGTGTCCCTGTCCCCGCTGTGCGCACTGACCCACCCGTGTCCTGTCCCCGCTGTGCGCACTGACCACCCGTGTCCTGTCCCCGCTCCGTGCGCACTGACCACCCGTGTCCTGTCCCCGCTGTGCGCACTGACCACCCGCTGTCCTGTCCCCCCGCTGTGCGCACTGACCACCCGTGTCCTGTCCCCGCTGTGCGCACTGACCACACCGTGTCCTGTACTGTCCCCGCTGTGTGCGCACTGACCACCCGTGTCCTGTACTGTCCCCGCTGTGCGCACATGACCAACCCGTGTCCTGAACTGTCCCCGCTGTGCGCACTGAACACCCGTGTCCTGTACTGTCCCCGCTGTGCGCACTGACACACCCATGTCCTGGTACTGTCCCTGTTGTGTGCACTGACCACCCGTGTCCTGATGGCATGCCGGAGTATAGCTACCTGTGGTGCCCCTGAGGTGCTCGATTGAGCCATCACTCACCTGTTGAGTCCCTGTGAACCCAATGTCCCCTAGAAAGCTGGGTGGGAAGCTGTGCTGAGGCCAGACTCCATGGCTAGAGTCCCGTTGAGTCCCCGAGGCCCCTGCCCAGTGGTAGGTTGCCGCCTGTTTGCCCGAGGCCACCTGCCCATGGTAGGTTGCCGCCTGTTGCCCCCGATCCCAGTCACGGAAGCTCGGTGAGGGACCCCAAGTCATTTCCACTATTTTGTCTGTTTGTTGCTTCAGGCAATAAATTTTGTGTGGCTTCTCCTGTGCTCCACCCATCACATGTCCAGTTCACGGAGGGACCGCATCCGGCATCCCACCCATCACATGTAGGGACCACCACACGGCACGCCGTACAGCACAGGCATCCCACCCATCACATGTAGGGACCACACGGCACGCCGTACAGCTCCGGGCATCCCATCCCATCACATGTAGGGACCACACGGCACGCCGTACAGCTCCGGGCATCCACCCATCACATGTAGGGACCACACGGCACGCCGTACAGCTCCAGCTCCACCATCACATGCAGGGACCACACACGCACGCCGTACAGCACGCAGCTCCACCCATCACATGCAGGGACCACACGGCACGCCGTACAGCTCCACCCATCACATGCAGGGACCACACGGCACGCCGTACAGCTCCACCCATCACATGCAGGGACCACACAGCACGCCGTACAGCTCCACCCATCACATGCAGGGACCACACGGCACGCCGTACAGCTGCACGCATCCCACCCATCACATGTAGAGACCACACGGCATGCCGTACAGCGACAGGCATCCCACCCATCACATGTAGGGACCACACGGCACGCCGCACAGCTCCACCCATCACATACAGGGACCACACGGCACGCCGTACAGCTCCGGGCATCCGACCCTTCACATGTAGGGACCACACGGCACGCCGTACAGCTCCACCCATCACATGCAGGGACCACACAGCACGCCGTACAGCTCCACCCATCACATGCAGGGACCACACAGCACGCCGTACAGCTCCACGCATCCCACCCATCACATGTAGGGACCACACGGCACGCCGACAGCTCCAGGCATCCCACCCATCACATGTAGGGACCACACGGCACGCCGTACAGCTCCGGGCATCGCACCCATCACATGTAGGAACACACACGGCACGCCGTACAGCTCCACGCATCCCCCCCATCACATGTAGGGACCACACGGCACGCCGTACAGCTCCAGGCATCCCCACCCATCACATGTAGGGACCTAACGGCACGCCGTACAGCTCCACCCATCACAGGTAGGGACCAAACGGCACGCCGTACAGCTCCACGCATCCCACCCATCACATGTAGGGACCACACGCCATGCCGTACAGCTCCACGCATCCCACCCATCACATGTAGGGACCCGCACGCCATGCCGTACAGCTCCACGCATCCCACCCATCACATGTAGGGACCGCACGCCATGCCGTACAGCTCCACGCATCCCACCCATCACATGTAGGGACCACACGCTATGCCGTACAGCTCCACGCATCCCACCCATCACATGTAGGGACCGCAGAGCATGCCGCCCACCTCTAGGTATACCCCCCCAGAATGCTGCATGGCCATCACACAGATCCAGGGCTCCATGAGACCTCCCCCCAGCTCGGCACACATAGACGGCCATCTTGGATGAGATCTGGACTCTCCTCCCCCATCATCACCAACATAGACCTTGGCAACACCCCTACTGATGACGTCTGTGGATACGAAACGCGTCTGGGAGGAGCCCTTGTACTCTGTGACGTCACGCCGCTGCATCACGGAGGTCCGGCGGCCATCTTGCCAATCCAGCTGCTCTGTACTGAGCAATTAAACCCCATCCCAGGACCCCAGGTGATCTATCCGGACCAGAGAGGGGAGGAGCCTGTGACCGGACCCCGTTATAGGGGCCCCCTGAGTGACTTCCCTAACACCCAGATCTACAGAGGAGGGGCACCAGCCGAACCCTAAAGGAGACCTCCGCTTATCTGATCAATGCGCCTCCGGTGAGTGCGCACTCTTACACCAGATCACTCATCGCCGGATCGCTAATCGCCGGATCACTAATCGCTAATCACCGGATCACTAATCGCTAATCGCCGGATCGCTAATCACCGGATCACTAATCGCCGGATCACTAATCACCGGATCACTAATCGCCGGATCACTAATCACCGGATCACTAATCGCTAATCACCGGATGCCTAATCGCCGGATCGCTAATCGCCGGATCACTAATCGCCGGATCGCTAATCGCTAAACACCGGATCGCTAATCTCCGGATCGCTAATCACCGGATCGCTAATCACCGGATCGCTAATCTCCGGATCGCTAATCACCGGATCGCTAATCACCGGATCACTAATCTCCGGATCGCTAATCACCGGATCGCTAATCATTAGTGAGCGGCGGAGTGGAATAGTGGGAGGAGCGGAATAGTGGGAGGAGCAGAATAGTGGGAGGAGCGGCGGAGCGGAATAGTGGGAGGAGCGGAGGACCTAGGAGTCCAGAATCTGCGATTATTCCATACTCCAACATACAAACTGTGACATCACAGGGGGCGGAGTTACCAAAGAGTTTCCCAGGGTGGCCAATATTGAAGGCGGGGCTGAGCGCAGGACACAGCAGAGCGTCCAGACCGAGCCTCCTCCATTCACCGATAAACTCGCTGCGATATTCCTGAAATCAGAGATGACGGTAAGTGACCCGACTGAACAGAACTCACCGGCAGAGTCACCGGACTTACCTGGATGGCCGTGTAATGTCTCCAGAGAGCCTTCACCGAGCTGCGGGGGGGAGAAGGGGACAGATTAGGGGACCACCGGGGCACAGACTGGTATATAGGGGGCACAGACTGGTATATAGGGGCACAGACTGGTATATAGGGGGCACAGACTGGTATATAGGGGCACAGACTGGTATATACGGGGCACAGACTGGTATATAGGGGGCACAGACTGGTATATAGGGGGCACAGACTGGTATATACGGCACAGACTGGTATATAGGGGGCACAGACTGGTATATAGGGGGCACAGACTGGTATATACGGGACAGACTGGTATATACGGGACAGACTGGTATATAGGGGGCACAGACTGGTATATAGGGGCACAGACTGGTATATAGGGGGCACAGACTGGTATATAGGGGGCACAGACTGGTATATAGGGGGACAGACTGGTATACGGGGCACAGACTGGTATATAGGGGGCACAGACTGGTATATAGGGGCACAGACTGTATATAGGGGCACATATATAGGGGGCACAGACTGGTATATAGGGGGCACAGACTGGTATATAGGGGGCACAGACTGGTATATAGGGGGCACAGACTGGTATATACGGGACAGACTGGTATATACGGGACAGACTGGTATATAGGGGGCACAGACTGGTATACGGGGCACAGACTGGTATATAGGGGCACAGACTGGTATATAGGGGGCACAGACTGGTATATAGGGGGACAGACTGGTATACGGGGCACAGACTGGTATATAGGGGGCACAGACTGGTATATAGGGGGCACAGACTGGTATATAGGGGCACAGACTGGTATATAGGGGGCACAGACTGGTATATAGGGGGCACAGACTGGTATATAGGGGGCACAGACTGGTATATAGGGGGCACAGACTGGTATATATAGGGGGCACAGACTGGTATATAGGGGGCACAGACTGGTATATATAGGGGGCACAGACTGGGGTCATCATACACACGAGTGGTTAGTGTAAAACAAGTCATGTGGCAGTCAGCGGATTGGCGGTTAGAGAATCTGGCAAAGCATTGTGGGTAAGTCGCCTCACCTACCCGACTCCACTGTGCGCCTCCAGGTGGTCGGCAATCCGCGGGAACTACAGGGGGGGAGATACTGATGGTGAGCCTGCAGGGGGCGCTAGAATGACCCCCCCCCCCCGTGACATGGATGAGATCCCCCCCCGTGACATGGATGGGATCTCCCCCCCCCCGTGACATGGATGAGATCCCCCCCCCGTGACATGGATGGGATCTCCCCCCCCCCCCCCCGTGACATGGATGAGATCACCCCCCCCCCCGTGACATGGATGGGATCTCCCCCCCCCCCCCCGTGACATGGATGGGATCCCCCCCCCCCCCCTCGTGACATGGATGAGATCACCCCCCCCCCCCGTGACATGGATGAGATCCCCCCCCCCTTGTGACATGGATGAGATCCCCCCCCCCTTGTGACATGGATGAGATCCCCCCCCCTTGTGACATGGATGAGATCTCCCCCCCCCCCGTGACATGGATGAGATCCCCCCCACCGTGACATGGATGAGATCCCCCCCCCCCCCCGTGACATGGATGAGATCCCCCCCCCCGTGACATGGATGAGATCCCCCCCCCGTGACATGGATGAGATCCCCCCTCCCCGTGACATGGATGAGATCCCCCCTCCCCGTGACATGGATAAGACCCCCCCTCCCCGTGACATGGATGAGATCCCCCCTCCCCGTGACATGGATGAGATCCCCCCCCCCCGTGACATGGATGAGATCCCCCCTCCCCGTGACATGGATGAGACCCCCCCCCCGTGACATGGATGAGATCCCCCCTCCCCGTGACATGGATGAGATCTCCCCCCCGTGACATGGATGAGATCTCCCCCCGTGACATGGATGAGATCCCCCCCCCCCCCTCGTGACATGGATGAGATCCCCCCCCCCCCTCGTGACATGGATGAGATCCCCCCCCCCCCGTGACATGGATGAGATCCCCCCCCGTGACATGGATGAGATCCCCCCCCCCCCCCCGTGACATGGATGAGATCTCTCCCCCCCCCCCCCGTGACATGGATGAGATCTCCCCCCCCCCCCCGTGACATGGATGAGATCCCCCCCCCTGTGACATGGATGAGATCCCCCCCCCTGTGACATGGATGAGATCCCCCCCCCCCGTGACATGGATGATATCTCCCCCCCCCCCGTGACATGGATGAGATCCCCCCCCCCCCCCTCGTGACATGGATGAGATTCCCCCCCCCCTCGTGACATGGATGAGATCTGCCCCCCCGTGACATGGATGAGATCCCCCCCCCCTGTGACATGGATGATATCTCCCCCCCCCCCCCGTGACATGGATGAGATCCCCCCCCTCGTGACATGGATGAGATCTCCCCCCCCCGTGACATGGATGAGATCCCCCCCCCTCGTGACATGGATGAGATCTCCCCCCCCGTGACATGGAT